CATGTTTTCTGATTTTGCGATTATCGTTGTACTAGAACAGCTTCTGATTGCATTCGCTGGAACGTCAAACGCACACCAGCACTGGGGGCGGGCCAAGCAGGGGACAACTACATCTCCAGCCAAAATAAAAGAAACACGAGAAATCCTTTCCTAAAATCTGGTGTGAGCTTACTGCACACCGTTTGGTGACAGCATAGAGCGTTAATAAGTACTTTGATACACCTTGAATTTTGTTCCAAACAGCGGTCTGGGTGGATGGGTATTCCCGAGTTCAGCGATTTCGAAGGTGTTCAAACTACTTCACATAAGGTTTTTCTCTCCCATTTTGAACAAAGTCAAAGAAAAAGTCTGTGATTCTTAGTGGGGATATCACAGATATCAGACCATCCACTTCGATTTGGAATTTCGCAGCGGCAGCCTGGCGCAGCTTACGGATCGCGCGGTTCGGTGATGAAGTTCTCCATCGCACGCCGTTTTCGCACTGAGCATCAAATCCTCCCAAGTTGATCGTTTCCCAACTGTCTGGAGGGGTACATTCCCATAGGATGGTCTCCGCAATTCGTTGTATGGACTCTTTCAAAATGAACATGACTGTGAATGGAGGATGACTTCGCGGCATAGTAAATGCTCTGTCCAAAGTGGATTGAGTTAGTAGAATTTATTACATGACTAATGAGATAGTAGCTAGTTAGGTGGTGCACAACAGAGGTGCTGAAGCTATCACATGCTGGGTATTTAGTGAGCATGCAGAGCGATATGCAGTACGAAAACATGAACAAGAATTAACCAAACACCATATGAAAAGAAGGACAACGACGACTGGTAGACTTAGCGGGTGCGGTGCCTCATCACCTTCCCTCGCCTCGCATCTTTATCGCGGTTGTCCATCTCCAGCATCCCAGCATGAGAAGTATCTAAGGCCAATTCTTACCATATTCGTTACAGAGCATCTCAAAAAGGGCCGATCAACGCCGAATGCCTCACCCTTTCAGTTTGCTCTGGAGGCCGCTGAGGGCGTGGTAAAATCACCTTCCTCCAACCACAGTCCATGACGTCACCACAATTGTCCCACTCTTCAGCTTCGTTCCACTGCCTTTAAGTTCAATTACACACAGTTGTGCATATATGAGTAAAGGAGATAATTGAAGGCGTAAGAAAAGCAGGCTGAAAGTTCCAGAATCATGGCTCCATAATGTCCTGATTCCCAGGTGACTTATTTTCGCCATGATTATTCAAATGAAAACGCGAACCGTGTCACTCATAGTGTCCTGTATTGGGTGAAGTCATTACTAGTGTCCAATTCAGATCATGATATTCGAAACTTGACGGCTTGGAGAGCACGAACCGCATCAGCCTGGAAGCACTATTTGTCTACTCAAAAAGCTCAGGAAACCTTGCTTGATCACCACTTGAGAGCTCAGGAAACCTTCGCCTAATCCATAAGTCTTTCACAGATACATTCGACCACGACTCGATTTTTCTCTTTGTGCTGAATTTGCACACTATCTATTATGAGCCTTGAAGGTCGGTGTCAGAATTTGCGAATACGTGGATTCGCCAGTGATTTGCGAGGTACGAGCATCGTATCAGCGGTTAGAGCGATGCAACAGCGGATCAAGTATACCGAGGTACGAGCTACGCATCAGCACCATAACTCTCTCAACTTTCTCGGGATCACGAGGGCATGAGAAAGTGAGAGAGCATGAGCGCCCGCAAAAGTGGCGAGACTCAAGGTACAAGCGAAACTCTCGCCGTTTTCTCACAGTGCCGAGCGCTGATATGTGGTCCAAACCATTGCGCATCGTTCCTGACGCTGGTGCCAATGTTCGTACCCCGCGGTTGGCTAACAAGTCTCCTGTTTCGCAAAGTGTGACACCAGCCAAAACGCTCCAATATTGCTGAAGTGTACGAATGATGGTCGGAGATGCTACAGTAAGAAGCTTGCCACAGCTTTTGACTTATTGTTCCCGTTCACGGAAGATGTATTCATGCGTGAGAAAGATGCGCAGAAATGAATGAGGAGACTGGAAGTTACACAGTATGAATAATTAGCACTCAATCGTTCTATCATGCTGTAATTCTCACACTCTACTGCAACAAGAGAAATGCTGTGGCGAACAAGAGAAGTGCCATTGATGCGTGAGAACCCTGCCGTAAGTACTGATGCTCAATGGTGGCTGACTGAAAGATATGCAGCATGAATTAATAGCTCTCAATAGTTCTTTTCATAGAATTATTTACAGACTATTATGTCACTCAGTTATGCTTGTCGAGCATTTCAAATTCGAAACCAGCCGCTGGTTTCTGGGCATAAAAACCGTTTCAGGTGGAGTTGTATGAGCATTCAACGATCCTCACTCCAGCTTGTATCGTTTCGTGTTAGCTTTTACGTACTGGAAAAAGCACTGCGTTCTTTCCTAGGATGCTTCCGTGTTAAATTGACAGACAACATTCCTGCTAAAGAATAACTTCACAACCAGTAGCGCTTCACCCTAAGAATAAAGTCGAGCCTGAAGCAAGCGGTGCCCCGCTGTTACATGAGGGTTCTATGGATGAAGAAGATGTGACTTTGCCGGGCTATCCAAGCATCCGCTTTTGCCCGTTTTATGAATACCTATGGGGTCTTCTACTCAAGATGCTTTATTAGATACTTAATTACCCTTCTATTGCTTTGGTATTAGATACTTAATTACCCTTCTATTGCTTTGGGGGTTGACTGTGTATGGCTTCTACATTTCCTCCCATGCTGTAGATCCTCATGCAGCACTGGTTAAATGATACGACAGAGGAACAAAAGGAAGGATAGCGAATAGGGGCTTCACTTATGAGATTTACGTTGTTGCGATATAGCAGTCTGCCCAAAATATATGGTGGACTATTGAGGCGTTCTTTTTGCCTACAAATCAGTTGCAGTAATCCTTTGTTCGCCTTGTCTTCTCATAAGCGAACGCTTTGGTTTATGGAAGGATGTGCTCGATACTCGACATGGTTCTGACCTTGGAGCGCCACAACAGGCACTGCGTATCTTGTCTGCCTACCTTGTTCAATTAACGCATACCCCCGAAATAGTTTTGCAGTTAGCCTCGATTCTGTATGGGAGATTGTTGAGTTTTCCTTTCCAGGAACCACACGTAGCGAAGATGGCGACCGCTGCCTGTGTGTTTGCGCTGCTTTCCATAAATCCAATGCGATTACCACAACTTCCCAGAGTCTGCAGCAACGAAATGTGCAATGTGAAGATGGTTGATCTGAGAAAATGTAGGATCCGATGTCGTCCACCTTTAGCCCCTGGCTGGTCTCTCTTGCCTTCGACAGGCTACGCTTACTTCGTGAGTTATTACTCCTGTATATCGCAACTCATTCTTGTCTAGACACTATTTCTTGTCTGAGTTTGATCTACTTACGTCCCAGATGACGTCGTGTTGAACAAACTGTTCTATGGGTAGGATAGAGTACACTCAATCGCACTTGTGCCGTTGCCGCGGCCAATGACGCTAGGACCTCATAATGTGAGCTATTGGACGAGACTCGCGCACACCCCGGGACTTGCATTGGCTATTACGACTAATTCAGCTACGCGCAGGTTAGTGGAGCCATGGAGCAAGCAGCTCCAGACAACTTGTACGAACGCCCTTCCTTCATTTCAAGGGAAAAGAGAGGGAGCCATTCTCAAAAGCTTCTTGTATGAAGGTTTGCTTTGCTCCAATTTTTGTTTTCAATAGCACGGTATTCTTTATTATTGACCGCTGTTACCCCACCGACTCGCTCTGGGATTGTTGCTTTAGGTAGTCGCGCTTACCATTAGACACAACTTTTCAATGCTAACAACGACAGTAAAGCGTTTTTTATTCTCGTCCTAACTGTAGCTGAAGACCAAAAAATATTATCATACGTGAATTGGTGATCGCCTACTTTTTTATCACATATTATCGTATTTTTATCATATCTTTCAGTCTAAATTCCAGATTGGAGGGAACTTATAGGTTCTTGAATATCCTCTATATACATATATATTATATGTAAGAATATATAAAAGAAAATGGATAGAAAAAGGATAACATTGGAACTCGATAACAAAGGAAAGAAGAGAAAAACAAAAGAGAACTCGGTCTTAAATGAGGAGAGATGCTGTTTTGAGTGATAACTGTCATACATGCGAAGGCGCTCACACGGCGCTGCCGCAAGCTGCATCGCGTGTCCAGCATCTAAGCTTGACTGACAGCCACTTTTTTCGAACATCAGCACAGGTAGGGAAACCCCCAATTCTAGATTCGTATTTGCGAATTTAGCATGTCAAAAAACGCGCTACTTGGGAAGAGGCCGAAAAGGAATGCCGAAAAGAAGGGGCAACATTGGCTTCAGTTCACAGCAACGAAGAGAATGATCACATTTACAGTGAGTGACCTTTGTTTTATATTATCACTCTATTTTATAAACCGCAACCTGGTGTGCTAGGGTGTCAGCCTGTATTATTTCAGTCTGCCTACATGCTCATCTGGAAAAGGCTGAAAGGTGGGTAAGGGGAGAGGGAGGAAAACCCATGGCTAACAAAACTGGGGAGATCGCAGTTGGATTGCGTGCTGATATTTCGTGGTGGTGTGACAGTGAGGAGATGAGATGCATAAGCCATTCTACAAAACCAGCAAAAACATCGGAAGATCAATTTCACTTACGATTTTTGGTGTGAATAGATATTTTAGCCGCGTTGTATAGGCCTGAGTCTGCAATTTAGACGCACCTCATTGTCGGGTACGGTCAGGACATCAGTCAGTCGTGAGCGTGGCAAATCAGCGTTTTGCAGTGTTTTTTAGAAGCTATCAGACGTGCACATTATTGCAGCAGCTTCACTTCATTCCTATAAGGCTCAGTCTCAGTACTAAGGGTTCGGATCATCGAAATTTTGTTTTTCAGAGATCACGCATAATTTCGCAAAAGCAGGCCTTAGTCCTTACACTACCTTGTGGCTTGGTCGTTTGAAACCTAACCCCTCCGGAAAAGGATATATGTGGCATGATAACACTCCACTTAATTTCACCAACTGGGCGGAGCACCATCCCAACAATTTGGAAACTGACACATGCGTAGCGGTACGTTGTGACAAACTTCATTTGGCTTATTCTTATTAACTTTTCTTAGCTCACTTGTTTAGCCTCTGATCCTTTCCATCTTCTCATCAGAGTCACGAATTTAGTGTCTAATTAATGTCTCTATATATTTATTCAATAATTGTTTATTCGTTTTGTTTTTGTTACTATTTTAGTGTTTGCAAGTAAGATTTTTTACAGTTCTACAACAGAAGAATGAACATTAGTAGAGAAGAAATGTACCTCAAACGCTGGATCGATCTTTGCTGTACCAAGAAAGTAAGAGAGGGCTTTGTGTGCAAGAAATTCCACGGACGCTATTCACTCATTCCCGCTCGAAGATGGAGATCGAGGAGGCACAGGAGATGGAGGAGATCAAGGAGGAGGTCAAGAAGGTCGTTGAGATTGAGGAAGTTGAGGAAACAGAAGAAAAATTGAGGCAATGGCCTATGGTGACACATGCCAATAAAGCTTCATGCATATTTCTTGATCAGCACTGGAGAAATCTGAATAGATATATAGGGAAAATAGTCACAAACCCTTCCACTCAAAGGCAAGGTCCGGGATTTCCGGTCAAAACTAAGCTTTCCCGAGAGAAATGCAGCGATGCGCAAGCAGAAAGCGCGTACACAGCCTGGTGATCAGAGTCAACCCTGCGTTGCGCAGTTCGCAACGGCACGTTGAGAGATCCTCAACGCACGCTGTATGGGCGGAGACACAGACGGCTCGAGCATGCGAGTGTGAATGTTCGCGCGAGAGAACGTGTCTAATCGGGCGAAACTGCGCAACGTGGCCGTTGAGAACTGCGCAACGCAGGGTTGACTCTGCTGGTGATAGTTCGACAAGGCCGAGGGGCTAAGGCCCTAGGATGCAGTATCAACCCCCCCCCCAACACTATTGTCTAGGCCTACGAATCAATGCTGTTTCACTTCGCCGTTAATTAGACACCGTTAGACAGTGGGTTGGGTTCTCATCATTGTCGACGATTTCTTCGCGTTTTTTCACGCTGCCATTACCCTTTACATCTCCATTGTTACTAAGTTTCACTGACAATACACAACTTTAATCTTGGACTTCGCCTTTGAAACATAATCAGTTACACTTGCCTAATTCCAAACCGCATGGACCCAACTGAAAAACTGAGTAACACATTACAATCCATAAAAAAAGACAACAACATAACAGCCTTCTACACCAACGACATCAGTGACATTTCTCACGGATTCGGAAGCACATGCACTGTTCGAGCTCAATGAGGTCCCTGTATACCATGGACATTTATGACGTTATCTAAAACGCTGGTCGCAAGCGGTCCTGCACAGTCAGAGCTTCTGTCTCTCTATAATTAATCACCAGTCAATCGATTGAGGAGACTGAGACGATTACTGTGGACCTCCTAGAGTCCAACGGTAATAATGAATGACGTAGTTTTCTGAAATCGTGAGGGCAAGAGGGCCTGCTGTCGCTTTTGAGAGAACACATATCTGAAATAAGAACCGTTTGTTTTCCAGTCAGCCGGGAGATGCAGGTTCTATAAATAGCATTGACATGTCCCAGTTGCCACCGAAAAGAATGGCAAGCCGGCATTGAGGAAAATCGGGAAAGGTTTTGTTTACGATAACTTTGTCTGATAAGGTTGCATTCGATTTCTGCTGTTCCTGGTCTGCTAATTTCTTCAAAACTCCTAGTAACCACTTTCAAATTTTCTCGATTGAAGGTATGATTGCACATGGAAAATATTAAAGGTTTCCCCGTCGATGTATGTACATACGGGTTCTCTTCACGACTCGCACTCCAAACTCTCGGTATTTTTAATTCTGCTCTTCCTCTCCCTATCTAAGACAGCTTGTCGTTTATGATATTTGTAAACATGTATTCCGGCTTTCGATGTGGATATCTTTGCACCGTTTAACCTAATACTGCTGAATCTATACCCAACAATGCCATAATCCCCACAAATCGTGGAGGATACGCTTTTTGACAATATTCTCAGCAATCCTTAGGTTTCCATAACCGATCGGCCTCTGCGAGAAAGATCTTTGCTGTGTACTGCCATTGGGAGTGTCGTGACAGTCTGGCGATGCATACTTTTGATACAGCAAATCTCGGAAAGAATCCACCCGGCAGCGCGTGAGGCTAGTTCCCACTCAATGGTGAATATGAACGTATACTCGAGAGCTCATTGCTAAGCAAATTCATTTGCTGCGGTTCAATCTTGTCACCATACAATGCTAATACTAATTTTTGTTCAATCGACGGTTTGCGACGGTAGAAACCGTCGCAAACCGTCGGCTCGCCATAACTCTTTAAAAATGGTTCGCTCGACCTGCAGTTTATACCATCTGATAGCTCTGCTCGAGATCTACAAGATGCTTAAATTCAATTTCTGAAAGAGCTCCATCTAGGATTGCGCCATGCACTCGACCTCCATCCCGAAAGTAATGAATATACTTTGTATGTGATGCGCATATAACCCTCCTATGCAGCCTGATCATCCCACAGAAACATGGATCTCAACACCCTCAGAATACGCCACGTACCCAACCGGTCCACCATATGGTGAGATTGAATGAATGTTTTTTTTTCGAATTTCACGATCTTTAATTCGTTCTAGAGCGCTAATTGGCTAACCGTGCGCTGATCAACCCATTCTTCCACTCCAAATGAGAATCTTCGAACAGTTTCCAGCAGTAGTAGTAGACCTATTATGTGACATTCCCCACATTTAGAGGAGATGATTTGCGGAAACCTGAGAAGATAGCGAGGAATCTCTCCACCGACGTAGACTACGGTTACTTCTCTGTAGGAATCATGTAAAATATTTGGTCGCAGGTGAGCGTTCCTTCCGTGGTGTGGCCCCAAACATCACTGCTCGTCATGTCCTTGTGAAATGATCAGTTTTTTTTTGCTTGTCCAGATGGACTTTGGAACCTGAAATGTGCATCATTCGATTTCCCATGAAAAATACTATCGAATGGTGTACAACACAGGTTGCACACGAAACTTTGTTTTTTCACCTTTTTCTCCCCATTGGCGATCGTCTTCCCAGCCCTTGGCGGCCACGTGCGATTCACGTGCACCTCGCCGACCCGCTTAACCCTTCGCATCTCTCTCAATTGACTATTTCATTGATTACTACTTAAGCTCACTTACCATTCGGAGAAGGTAAACTGCTGATATTAACACTTTGGAGACCGCGCGTGTTTTACGTTCCGCGGCCGCGCGGGACTTCGGTGAAATTTTTAGGGATCTTATCTAGCAAATTCAAAAGAAGAACCCACTGTATAATGCAGAAGAAATCTTATCGGATAAAATGGAAAAGAAAATGAATGAAAAACCTAATAATTGTTTACGAAATGCGAGCTGAAAGGTCCTATGCGGTCGGAGGACTGCAGCCCACATATGGGCTGCGTGGGCTCCAAGGTGTTAAAGTCATCGAATTTATCTCCCTCGACAACTTTGGAGCTAATCTACTGAACTCGCAAGGCTGGTTGGACTGGACGGCGTACTCGATCCCCTGGCCGTGCGTGTGGTAAACGCCGCTTCTTGCCACTCCGCTCAGCTGCATATCACCAATAATGATAAAGGATCCTACTTACTATAAAGCGTTTCGTCTGTCGTTCTGTATGTCTGTCACGAAATTCCCTAGCTTCTGGGGATCCGCCTGGAGAGACCGGGTCAAGTGTGGGATGGGTGGGCAAGGTCTCGCGAAGTACAAAACACACATCAGCTAAGCGGAGCCCCGCCCACAGTGGGCGTGGCGTGCATCGAAATGAGTGGTACTGACGACCAGGATTTCAAAAAACAGCCTCGAAACTGGGCCAAAAAGTGGGTAAGGTGTGCATTGGTAAGTCACATCGAATAGGGAGACCCACCCCCGGTGGGCGGGGCGTTCTCCAAAAAAGCAGTGCTTTATGAAAAATTTCATAACTCGGTTGGGAAAGCCTACAGAGCAGAAAACAAATTGGTGTAGGGAAGCAATGTCTAAGGTAATCCCGGCATACATGGCGAGGGTGGATGCCAGTTTACAAAGTGTTCTGAAGTGTACAGCGGCCTCATAATTCGGGCAGGGGAAGTCTTAGGGAGCCGGAAAAAGGTGGATAGAGATGGGTGGAGGAGTGGAGGTCCAACTGTCGGCGGTGGGCGGGGCATGACCAAAGTGGGCGGAGTTTGCGACAAAAATTCATAACTCGGCTCCAAGAAGTCCTTGGAGACCGGGTGAAAATTAAAGATTTTGTCAATGGAAGAGGGGTCAAGTGCTACTGATTTCCCGGTTTTCTGGACATCTAGGAACTGAACTATATGTTTAGGACAAATTCCGCCCACGTTGTTGCCCCTCCCACCAATAGCAGTTGACCTCCCTTCCGTTGACGGACTCAATTCACTTTTTTCCCGGTCTCCAGGACTTCTTGGAACCGAGTTATGAATTTTCGTCGCAAACTCCGCCCACTTTGGTCATGCCCCGCCCACCGACAGTTGGCCTCCACTCCACCCACCTCTATCCACCTTTTTCCGGCTCACTAAGACTTCTCCGGCCCGAATTATGAGGACTTGTAGAAAATGCTGTACACTTCAGAGCGCGCCTCCGCCCACGTCATGTATGCTGGAAACACCTTAGACATTGCTTCCCTACACCAATTTGTTTTCTGCTCTGTAGGCTTTCTCCCAACCGAGTTATGAATTTTTTCATAAGCACTGCTTTTTTGAGAACGCCCCGCCCACCGGGGGTGGGTCTCCCTAATTCGATCTGACTTACCAATGCACACCTTTACCCACTTTTTTCCCCAGTTTCGAGGCTGTTTTGTATGAATTGAAATCTGGTCGTCAGTACACTCATTTCGATGCACGCCACGCCCACTGTGGGCGGGGCTCCGCTTAGCTGATGTGTGTTTTGTACTTCGCGAGACCTTGCCCACCCATCCCACACTTGACCCGGTCTCTCCAGGCGGATCCCCAGGAGCTAGGGAATTTCGTGACAGACATACAGAACGACAGACGAAACGCTTTATAGTAAGTAGGATGTTTTATTATTATTGATGACATGTAGCTGAGCGTCAATGCCACTCATTTCGATGCACCACACACCCACTGTAGGCGGCGTTTACCACACGCACGGCCAGGGGATCGAGTAATCGACCGCACGCCGTCCAGTCCAACCAGCCTTCTATCACTGCGAGTTCAGTAGATTAGCTCTGGAGTTGTCGAGGGAAAAAATTCGATGACTTGAATATCAGCTGTTTACCTTTTTCGAATGATAATTGAGCTTAAGTAGTAATCAATTAAATAGTCAATTGAGAGAGATGCGAAGGGTAACGGGTCGGCGAGGTGCACGTGAATCGCACGTGGCCGCCAAGGGCTGGAAAGACGATCGCCAATGGGGAGAAAAAGGTGAAAAAACAAAGTTTCGTGTGCAACCTGTGTTGTACACCATTCGATAGTATTTTTCATGGGAAATCGAATGATGCACATTTCAGGTTCCAAAGTCCATCTGGACAAGCAAAAAAATCTGATCATTTCACAAGGACATGACG